GTGCCACCAACCGGGACCAAAGGCCCTCTTGCCTGAGCTCGGCGCACCGGCCACGTGGAGGCCCATCTGTCTCGGTTCGTGTTAGAACCGGGACTAAAGGTCTAGGGCATTAGTAACGACCCTTTAGTCCCGGTTCAAGAACCGGGACAAAAGGCCCTCACCAACCGGGACTAATAGGTGTTTTTCTACTAGTGTAGGGGCTTCCAATCACTGTAAGCTCAACAACAGAAGGAAAGCTCTCAAGGTAGCTCAGGTGCTGGGCATATTCTATGTATAATATTTTCAAAGCTCTTGCATTTAAGGCAAGGCCTGTCAGAACATGCCTTAGTTTGAATTTGCTGACAACAAGCTCCTCCAATGGGGGCGTGGCTTATACTTCCTCCTCCCACTCCCAGTCATCCCATCGCACCATTTCTAATAAGGCCATCTCATTTAACCTCGAAAATGGAGCCGCCACCGCCTGTAAGAATCCATTTCCAACGTGCCTGATGCATGGAGTGCCATTTACCTGAAGCAACTGCAGGCAGGAGAGCTGACATAAGCAATTAGGAAAATTGTGTGCAACAAGCCATGTTAGAAAACGATAGATACTTCAAGTTGTTGAGGTGCACCGTTGACGTGGACATCATCAAACTCAAAAGTTGCCAGCCAAAATACGCATCAACCTTAAAGATTTTCTACACTAGGCAGAGGCCAGAGCTCATCGAACACCTTCTCGATTCGTCGATGCTATTCCTGAGAGACACCTTTCTCCTTGCCCAACCCATCATCTCCTAGTCTACTAGTGCAGTATAACAATAGGTTGGTTAGATGCATCTTATCATTGAGTCTAGTGTTAGCAGCCGATGAGGCAACATATACATTCTCAAGTTGATCTAATTGTAGCATTCTGAGTTGGGGAAAGAGTCTCCAACTCGTCAAAACTACACCAATCACCATCCATGTGTGCTTAAAACCCAACTACTTCCCTCATACTTGTTAGACATCAAGCCCTCAGGTATCATGCAAATGTTGGGTAGATAAAGTAACCTCATATTCCAAGCTTCACAATGGTACCAGCAAGACTAGCCAAATTTACACATCAAGAAATTGTAATAACTTCACCTTGCCAATGTTCCTTGGAAGTAAAGATATATCACTGATTACTAACATCAGATACCTCAAGTGCTTGAGTTTATGCAATGATTCAACCAAATGAACCACATCTACTGATTTTATATAGAGTCTGTGGACTACAAAAGATAGCCAATGAATCCCCATGCTTCATCACTGACTGCTGCTCCTATAAATATTTCCACTCAAGTTCGCTTGATTGCAATATGTTTGCTTCTATAGAAAACTGAAGAAACTTTTAGGAGTGAAGTTTAGCTAGAATATCGGTGTCTCTGTCGTGAGCTACGAGTGCTTCGTCTTTAGTTATATACTGAGCAAATGAGCGAACAACATCATGCATGTTGCAACGCGGTTGAGTAACATAGGATTTATCTAGCTTTATAAGATTCCTAGATATCAGCTCATTGTAGTAATTTTCTCCCAATTCCTATAAACCATTAGAGTTTTCATGAATAAATCCTTCGCTAATCCACATGGAAACGACTTTATATAAAATAAACTTTCTATTTTAGGAAGAAGAGAGTAGTATAGAAAGGACCACTTGAGAAAAGGAGGCATATCTTCATAGCTCAAGTATACTGCATAGTTGAGCGCTTGGGGCCCTTTAGTAATTGACCATTTGAAATCATTCAAAATCTGCTCCTAATTACGCCGTAGCTCCCCTCTTTTATGCAAGAGCCCTCCATCACTTTAATTGCAAGTGGCAACCCACCACATTTTTTCTAAGTTTTAATCCAATTCTTTTAGCTTATTGATGTGGTCTTCATTTATCTCACTTGAGAGCTGAGAGTGCCTGCAAACATGCACTTCAAAGGACCTATTACGTTAATTAAAAATGGAGTACTTGCAGCTGTTTCAAACAAAGGAAAAAAAGGAGGCTCAGGGTAAGTGGCAGCCGCCAATGTCTGGAATGATTAAAGTTAATTTGGATGGAGCCTACACGCATGGAGATTCCTTTGTTTCACGGGGGGTAGTAATCCGGGATGAAGCCGGGGATGTTATGCTGTCTCGAGCAGGAAAGAGGGATCAGGTCACAGACCCGTTTGGCGCCGAGGTCATAGCAATGAATGAAGCCATAGCTACAGCAGCAGACGTTGGGGCTCTTTGTGTGGTGTTTGAGACAGACTCCAAGTTATTGCAAGAAGCCCTCGATTTCACTAGAGCTGACTCCTCGCCGTATGCTGCTGTTATAGAGGATTGCAAATTTCAGCTCGAGTTGTGGTTCTCAAAGCAAAGTGTTGCTTTATGTCGCCGAAGTGCCAATTATGTAGCTCATGAACTAGCTAAGTTAGGTCGTTTATTGTTTGCCTAATGACAGCGAAAGCTGGAACACTTCTGTACCGTCCCAAGTGGTTGTCCGTGTTTCGGGTAATTTACCCGAGCACCGTTAAGTTATAAAAGCTTGGCTTTGCCTTTAAAAAAATGAACGCGCTCTTGTTAAGACGCTGAAATTTCTCCACTTAAGAGTGTCCGCAAACATGCAGTTTAAAGGGCCTTGTGTCACATTAAATCAATTTATGTCACCAAAAATGATCTGGTGACAGTTTTCGGCCGTCACCCTATGGACAATGAAGTGTCATCACAAAAATAAAATCTTGACAGCTACCACTCTTTTCTATCACATAAGATCGTGTCTTATGTGACGGTTCTTGGATATTTTTAAGGAAGGGTTCAGGGAAATTGAAAATAGAAAAGAAATATTGTGCTAGCTGCTAGGTGGTGGACACGTGCCACCTTGACCCATGTGTCACAGCCTCCTCTGCTTCCTCTGTTCGTCTCTCCCTTCACTCCACTAGAGCCGCCACCCGCTTGAGGAAGCACAACCGAGGGCGAAGCCTGCGACGGCGCTGTGCTGCTGCGTGGAGGCGACCGTGCCCCAGCCGCCGCCCCTTCATCATCTTCTCCGGAACTCCCCTTCACCTGCGGCGCGAAGGAAGAGAGTGCTTCCGGTCACCGGCGAGTCTGTGAGGCAAAGCCTACATTTTTTTCACCGCTTGGTGCTAGATTCCCTTTTTCCTTGCATAGAGAGACGTGATTCACCGATTTAGTGATGCTACATTCGACCTAGGGTTTTTCAACCGATTTGGTGATGCTCGTCTCTTTCCCCTCCTGCAGAAGGGTTTCCCACAACCTGTTCGACGAAATGCCCGCCATTGCTGCTGTCAGCGACAGGGATCACTTTGGCGACCTCACCGACGACCTCCTCAGCCATGTGCTATCCTTTCTGCCGTCGGACGACGCCCTGCAGACTTGCGTGCTCGACACCCGTTGGCGCGACCTCTGGAGGCGCACCACCAGCCTGCACTTCAATGTTGATGATTGCGAACTGTTCCGGCGGTTGGTGAAGCTCATCATCCAACTCCGCGGAAAGTCACCTCTCGTAAAGTGCGACATAATTACATGCCCTGATGATTATGCGGTGTTTGGCAAGTGGCAATACATGAACACTAAGCTGTTGATCGAGTTCGCTCTCATGTGCCAAGTTAAGGAGCTCACACTCAGCACTGTGGACTTTCATGCCATTGATCCACCAGTATTCGACGTGCCTTTCATCTCCCATCATTTGAAGACCATAAACCTTCATCGGGTTAAGCTAAAATGCCCCGCTCTGAATTTCTCTGGCTGCCCAATCTTAGAGGAACTAAAGATGCAAAATTGTAACATTTGTGCACGGAAGATATCATCCAAATCACTAAAGCATCTCTGCATCTCCGATTCATGTGTGATCCCTGTGGATTTCCGCATTCGGATTTTTGCCCCGGACCTTATCTCACTGCTAGTTGCTGATTTTTGTGGTGCGACCCCTTTCCTCGAGGACATGCCATTTCTAGTGACAGCCTCTGTTGGGCTTGACGATTCATGTTACGATTTGTGTAGCAGTGCGCAAAGGGGTTGTGGATTTGACTGTTGTTGTAATAATTATCCTACAGAGGGGGGTGTGCTTCTCAATGGTTTGTCCAATGCTGTTAATTTGGAGTTGATTTTGACAGCTGACCCTGTAAATGTACGTTTGCACTACTACCTTTTTACCCTCAGTGCCATTTTCCACCTCCAGTTTCTTTTGTGATATCCATCGTTAGACCTGCATATAAGCAGCTTGCTTTTTTTCATTATTTACCACAGTTCAGTAGTTTTATCTATACCAATGGCTCTCCAGTTAACGATTTATAAGATGTAGCGTATTAATTGGATAGATTGATATTTCCGGTGCTTGAGGTGAAGTTTTGTCTTTTTGTAGTTACTTTCAAAATAAGAAGTATCAACCTGAAGTTCCTACAAAGTAAAATTATTTTGTCTTGAGTCTGAGACTTCTTTTTTGTTCATTTGCAATCTGCGCAGTTTATCTACAGATGGGATTTAGAATGGTGCCCAATTTTCAGCAAATTAAAGACTCTGTTACTCAATGAGTGGTTCACAGCTATTGACCTAGCTTGCATTCTGCAACACTCTCCAATTCTTGAGATGCTCACTCTTCAGCTTGGTAATACGAAGGTATATTCTGTGTATAAGGTATTGTCATATATGTGCTATTGTCATACTGAATGTTTTCTATCATGTAGAGCCTCACAAGAGCAACGGCGGCCCAAGAAACAATAGATCAATCATTCGTGTGTGCGCACCTAAAGGTTGTCAACATTGAATCTGATGAGGTTCATGAGGAAATTCACAAAATTGTGAATATCTTGAGGACTTGTGGCATACTTCGTGATCACATTAGCATCAAGGCTCGATCATCACCCTCATGCTGTAAGTTAGCTGTTGTCATTCTTCATGCTTCATATGTTTGAGCAATCATCCTATTTTGTCCTAGCACATCTGCTGTAACTACACATCAGCTTTACAAATCGATTCATGTTCAGTACCCATTATCCTTCAATATTGATTGGATTCCTCGCTGGTGGGGTTCAGAATGTCCGTTAAATCCCAACAAATTTAGTTACTCTGTAAATGCTGCTTGGACTACATAAGCTAGGAAACATCATCATTCTTCCTATAATTTAGTATCATCCATGCAAAATCAGTTGTGTCGGTTTTCTTCTCTTTGCACTGTTTATTTACTTATGAAGATAGTAGTTGTTTTGTCTTAATAAAATGCAGTTTACTTTTGCTGTTGTGCCAGCTGATAGATTCAGTTTGATTGAGAATCTCCGGCTGATAGGGGATATAATCCTAGAATGTAGCGTTCCGTGTGCATCTAGCAAAGACAAACTGCATTTGCCTTCTTGTTTCCGCTGTTGCTGTCCATCCCTCACAAGGCTGAAGTCCTTGTTGATAAAGAAATTATAGTGTGTTAGGCAAGCTATTCTCCTCCCGTGTATGTCAACTGAGAACACCTTGCCATCTTGGTACCGAGCTTATTGCGCACCGTTATGCTCTGTGCAGGTTTCAGTTTCCAGAAGGATCCGCGGTCGCTGCTCCCTCCTCCTGCCGCACTGCGCCCTGCAGCTTCCACCACCGATGATGGCAACTAGGATGATCGCTCTGTCGTAATGTAAGGGTGGTCCTGCGTGGCCTGTTATCACTACATTGTCAGTTCCTATGTTTTGGTCCTTTTGCAGGAGATCTGGTTGCGTTGGTTCATCGGTGCGACTCACCAAAAACAGTTGCATTCAAGTTGGTTGACGTAGTGAAACTGTCATGGTTGGTCAGAAGACTGTTGTGTCTATGTGTTATCACCAGGACTGGAAATCAGGCCAGGACTTGGCTATGTTGAATGCAAACCGGGTCCAGGTGGTGCCCTGTTTGACTGCATATGTTTCTTTTGCAAGAGAGCCTCGCTTCATTTAATCTTAGCAGAGAACGTCTAGATGGTGGACACTGTCTAGGATGAGTTGCTGGTTCAAGGAGTCAAAAACTAGTCTCTGTTATGCATCTTTTTTTCTTCCAATCCATTGCAGTGATCAACCTTGTTTGTCCATCGGATCGCACCATCCAGAAATCCTGGCCGTCCTCCCATCTACGCACAGGAGGGAAAGAGAGATTGCTGGAGAAAAACAAAAGTAGATGGTCTGGTGAGCTAGCGGCGTCAGTGCCCGTTTGATATGCAGATCGACTTTGGCTTGGAAGTCAGTATGCATCTGCCGAGTCTTGGTGAAAAACTGAATGACATGATGCTTTTACTAATCATCAGGCAGAAACGGATGGAATGGACTGCCCACCGATCAATGGCCGCATGAGAGTTGCTGACGGTTTAATTAAGGACGCCGATAACTGCCACAGTGTGGTATATTTGACATGCGCCCACACACCGTGTGTGGTGTGAGCAGGAGGCAGCCCACACGAGCTGTGTGTGGGCGGACATTAGAATTGCCCACACGTGTGGGCGCAGCTACTTCGTGCCACACGCCAAGCAAAAATGCCCACACGTCCTGACGCAGCTACCTTAGGTACATGGGATGACGATTTAGTTGCCATCCTGGTTGGCAGATGTAGTTATGCGGGATGATAAATGTAGTTGTAAAAGTATGGCAACTCTATCTGTTTTGGTTAACTATATAGTTGCCATGTCTAAATTACGGTAGTTGCCGCGTGTAATTAAACCGTAGTTGCCGTGTGTGATTAACTACTTGCCACATATGGTCAAACAACAGTTGCCATGTGTGTTTTTCTAGTTGTCACGTGTGGTCCAACCATAGTTGCCATGTATTGTTAATCACAGTTGCCATGTTTGTTTATCTGGTTGCCACGTACGCGCAACTGCAGTTGCCATCTAGCAAAAAATCACAGTTGCCATGTGTGTTTACCTAGTTGCCACGTTCGCTTAACTGCAGTTGCCATCCACAACATAGGAGTGTGTGTGGGCGAAAAATAGTTCGCCCACACACGCATGAAGTATGTGGCTGACTGTGTGGGCAAAAACTAGTTCGCCCACACAACGCAGCTGGCAAACAGCATGGTGCGAGCGTGTGGGCAAACTCTCCAATGCCCACACACCAGCCCCATCCTATGTGGCACACCAAATTCACATTTTCGTGTCAAGATTCGTGCAAAAAGCACTGGACAACGATTGACGCGTGTGGGCGAGTTGGGGAACAACCACACGTGTGAGCGTTACTGTTTCCGTTAATTAAACTGCTGACGGCGGTGGGAAATGGGGCGATCAGTTGGCATGGTATGGTCAGGTCAACCCCTAGTTTTTGTGCATATATCATATGCATCTTCTTCCCTTTCCCGTTGAAGTGTCTTCGTCCGTTCGCCCGATCACACTGTCCACGGGTGAATGTGTGTACGCCAGTGAACGTATATTGCAGGTTTACAGGAAGGAAATACTCCTCCGTTTTAAAATAAGTGTCTCAAACTTAGTATAATTTTATACTAAACCTAATACAAAGTTGAGACAACTTATTTCGGACTGAGGGAGTAGTTTACTGTAGTAAATAACACCCATATAACATGAAGGTCCAGATACAAACCAACTGTCCAGTCGGAGAGGAACTTTTGGTCTATGGGTGTATATGCACCTTATATGAAAAAAATTAATAATTAAATAAAAAGTTAAAAATTCTAAAAATATTTTTAAAATAAACTTAACCTTTCATTGTTTGTAGAAACATTCCACAAAAATAAAATCCCCCGTTGACTTCTTTTAGAGAAAAATAAAGGTTTCAGCCAAAATAGTGTGAATAGTAATCTATAATAGCAATTATTATTTTTTGCCATGAAGTCAACGCTGATTTTTTATTCCTGAAAATTTACATACTAGAGCAAAAGAAAGTCAAGTTTATTCTAAAAAACTTCTAAACCTTTTTGCTTTCATTTTATTTATTTTTTCTCATATGAGGTGTATATATATACACCCAGGAACCAAAGCGTATTTCCCCTGTTCAGTGTTAAAAAAAAACCTGCTGCCCAAACGGTCCTGTGAGCCAGCGACGTCAGCTCCCTCGTCGTATACCGGCGTTGACAAGGATAGGGTTGTTTCTCTTGATCACAAGCTGACCTACTGATGTCCCGGCAGTCGGTTTGACAAAGTTGCACCTCATTGGTGATGATGTAGAGAGATTTTGACCTGTGGGATTATTCAGTGTACACATTTCTAGGAGCCCGCTGAATCACTGATCACAATGTATATCTGCCCATCTACCCTACCAGTCGACGAAAGATGCTCTCGTCTGCATGGCATCTCCTGCAAGTGGTTCTTCCCCCCCTTTTCGTGCGCGTGATTCTGACGCGATCAAACTTTGGACCTCTTGATACGGCGCTAAAAGAAGCGTTACCATGCGTGCAGATTCAGCAAGATAATAATAAGCTGGAAGTGCTTGAGATTGCAGCAAGCTTCGCATCATCTGCACATAAAGCCAGGCGACCCGTTCACATGCAAAATCGCGTTGACATTTTGTATGGGGGGACGAAATACCAGGGAACTTGAGAATGCTAACCGTTCTTATGCGGAGTGGGAGACAAGGGTTATAATCTTTTAAGTACAGTTTTCACAAAAAAAGGAGTAAAGGACTCTTTTTTTTGCGAGGAAACTTCCAATCTATTCGATCACGGTACAATTGCTGCCACGCTGCTTCCTCCTTTCTTAACACCAGCACTGAGAGGGCATGGACATCAATCCAACACACCTACAATAGCCGTCGCCATCTTTGGCTTTGAGTACCGCGAAAAGTATTCCTTCCGGAAGGAAGAGAACTCAAGTCATCCGACCGGTCCAGCACCGCGGCCGGGCCATCCGTCCGAACAAAGCAGGATCTCTCACCAGCATCAGTGCAGAGGAAGGAGAAGAACAACAGTAGCAAATCATACCGACAAGGAAGAAGAAGGGTCTTCGTCTCCCTGCATCCATCGCCCATCTGAGGACCCAAACGGCTAGTGTTGATGGACCTCCAGCCACCATAGCCCGTGACCTCGATGAGATCCGGGGATCCCCCACCCCGCTGGCTCCTAGACGAAGGCAGCAGCCTCGCCTGACCGCAAACAGAGCCAGGAGAAACTTATTCCGACGCGACACCACCGCAACGACCTCGGCAGCGTCTCCCTCAACCCTAACCCTACCACACACCCACCTAGCGAATAGACCCGAGGTTCCCCCTCCCTCCCGCCGCCGGAGCGGCCGACAGAGATAGAGGGAACCGGCGTCGCCACCGGCGGCGCGCAAGGGAACCCTCTCGCCTCCCTAGATCGCCTCGTGCGATCCTGTTGCTAAAAGTACGATACTTGTTTGTTAGAATAAAATTAGGGGAGATATTATGTTCTGCAAACCCGACTGAGCATATTCCTTTGAGGCGGACGGGCGTCGGAGCCTAATGGATAGTCCCACTAAGGCCTTGTACAATGCAAGATGCTTAGGGAAGGTGCTTAGAGAAATAAACCACGTTATTCTTAACACCGGTGCTTATTTGTACATGATAGACGTTTAACTAAGCGTCTCTCCGGTAGAAATAGGCACCGGTGCTTCATAAAACTCGGTTTATTTTTCTAAGCACCTCCCTAAGCATCTCCCATTGTACAAGGCCTAATCATGGGCTCATGGCACCTATGGCTGAAGTTGAAAACAACTACTCCATTTCAAAATATAGTATAAGCCACTTTGTGGTAAGCCAATCTTTATAACAATTATTTTGTACACAAAAATGCCAAAGGTCATACATTAAAGTCAACCAACCTTTACAGGGTTATTCTTATGAACATTAAAAAAATGCATATCGGTCCTGATGGAAATCGATGTTGTCTTCCTCCCACACTCATCAACGGCTAGCCAGACGTTGTTGATGGCAGGCAAAAAGTCATCAAAGTCAAGGCCCTACTGAGCCAATGCGCTGGAAAGGAAACTATCAAAAACGACGCAATCAAAAGATCACAAACCCAAGATTCCAACCTTCAAAGAGCTCATGTGCCTCCCGCTAGCAACGAAGGCCGCACCGATGTAACAGGGAGGAGGCTACAGGACAAACCTACAAAGTGATGTTGTTGTCGCCGCCACACCGACAAACTTTGAAATCATAGTTAGCAAGTCTAGACATGTATAAAAGATTGTAGCCAAACGATTCAACAAGCATGAAATTTTGAATGGAGCTATCATTGGATATGGCCATCTTACTAAAGCCAAGTAACTTACTCTTGGAGTTGTCTCCAAAAGTCACATACTTATGTGGACCATCATTTTTAGCAAGATCACGAAACATGTCTCTATCTCCGGTTATGTGCCCGGTGCATCCGCTATCGAGAACCCATTCCTTTCCTCCGGACATGTAATCTCGAAGATTTTCCATGAGACTAAGATTCGTCATAGTCTTCTCATATTCGATGTCGAATTCTTCACCCTCATCGAAATAGCCATGTTCAATATTGTCATCATCAATTGGTGTATGATCATCACCTAGGGCAACGAATTCATTAGTTCCATGATGATCACGACATTGTTCAAGCGAGTGAATTCGAATGGCTTCTATAATGATATTGACTGGTTCTAAGATCACCTTTAGCACGCATGAGATCACGAAGTTTAAAGAGACAATCATCAAATTTT